CTCAGCCTGAGCTTGGAGGTCAATGTCTTGCAAAAAGGGCCCTTTATCATTCCTATTGTCTTGGCTGTCCCCATTGAACCTTTGTTAATCAAGGGACCTGTATTTAGGCTTTCATTCTTTCCTTGATCTTTAAGTTCTCCTTTTCTTTGTGATACAAGATTGAGTTGTAGGATAAGAATCCTAGCAGGAACTTCTAGGTAATGTCAGCAGGAACTTCTATTGTTTCTAGGTAAAACTAATGGCAGAATTATCCTTAGAAACACCCACTTGGTCATGACGTAAAAAGTCTGAGCCAGAATTTGACTGATTTTGTATAAATAAAGCGGACAGCTTTCCCGCATTGTCCATTATGATCATGAAGTCCTAGTGGTCCGTCTCTTTCTTTCCTCTTTGCGCCTCATTCACGCACCCTTCGCGAGTTCCGAACTCAGCTGGAGCTGGACTCCGGCGTTGTTCCATACATATTTTTGTATGTGTATTTGAATGCAGAGCTACAAAAAGAAGGTTGCCTTCTATCCGCTGGTTCACTCTCCAAATGCTTGTAACAAGTTTGGCCACGTTGAAGTCAGGAGCCCAGAACTCTATGTGGGTTTCCCAAGAGTGGTAGGGAATCAAGCAGTTTAATTATGACCTGCGGCTTCCCTAGAGCATGCATTAGCAAGAATCTGGATAAACACAGGCAGAACTCCAAATCTATACACTAATAGGGGACGCTGGGATCCCCACTGGTGGCTCAACTGCTACACAACTTCCCTGGAGCTTTCATGTTTTCCCTATCCATTTTATTAGCACCTCCCTTGCACTTGAGTCACAAGTTTTGTACACTATGAACAATTAAGTTGTGTCTTGTCTTTCAGAGTTGACAACTTTTGTGCAAGGTATGGGATAAGTAAATCATATAATGACATTCATTTTTCAAACAAAAACAAAAAACACTTAAGTTCTGCATTAAACTCCACTGTCCCCAACTATCACAAGTTTAACAAGTGGTATGTGCTCCCAAACTAGCTCATTACTGAGAAAATCCTGTCTGGATCAGTCCTCATCCTTTTTTAGAAAATGTACTGAGGGCCCGGCACGGTGGCGCAGTGGTTAAGGTCCTCGCCTTGCACGCCCAGGATCCCATATGGGCACCAGTTCTAATCCCAGCAGCCCCGCTTCCCTTCCAGCTCCCTGCCTGTGGCCCGGGAAGGCAGTCGAGGACAGCCCAAAGCTTTGGGACCCTGCACCCACGTGGGAGACCCGGAAGAGGCTCCTGGCTTCGGATTGGCATAGTATCGGTCATTGCGCTCACTTAGGGAGTGAATCATCGGACGGAAGATCTTCCTCTCTGTCTCTCCTCTCTGTATATCCGCCTTTCCAATAAAAAAATAATAAAAATAAATCTTAAAAAAAAAAAAGAAAACGTACTGCAAAAACCCATATATACTTCACATACTTCCCAGCTTCAGAAATAGCTTTTGGGGGCACCATTTGATGCAATCAATTTACTGCTGGAGTGGCCATATTCTGTACCAGAGTGCTTGATTTTAGATCTAATCCACTCTAAATGTCTGCCCCAGCTTCCTGCCAAAGCATTCGAGGCAACAAGACAAAGCACCTGCCAACCTCACGGACCACCAGGATGGAATTCCTGGTTCCTGGATTCTACCTCTCCAGCCCTGGGTATAGCTGGCATCTGAGAAAACCAGTGGACAGCAGCCAGCCACCTGCACCTGCACTTCAAATACTGTGAAAACAAAAGCTTTTTGAAGGGCTCAAAATGTTTTCTCCAATACTGGGTTCTTCTTCCCTGACTTCAGTCATACATACACTGCACACTAACAACTGAAGAGTTTTGCTTGTAAAACATGTTTTGGGGCTGGCAACATGATCTAGCGGCTAAAGTCCTCGCCTTGATTGCACCGAGATCCCATATGTGTACCAGTTCTAATCCCAGCAGCCCCACTTCCCATCCAGCTCTCTGCTTCTGGCCTAAGAAAGCAGCTGAGGTCGGCCCAAAGCCTTGGGACCCTGCACCTGCGTGGGAGACCTGGAGGAAGTTCCTGGCTCCTGGCTTCAGATCGGTGCAGCACTGGCCGTTGCGGTCACTTGGGGAGTGAATCATCAGACGGAAGATAGAACTGTCTCTCCTCCTCTCTATACATATCTTACTTTGAAATTAAAAAAATGTTTCTGGGTTCCAGTCCAAAAGAAGACAAAATAACCTAGAAGTTGTAAAACTGGATGCTGGGAAGACATTTAAAACAAATTCCCTAGGTGATTCAAAGTATCGGAAATGAAGGATATGAGCTGTATTTATAATCAGTACTTTTAAAGATTTGGTCATTTTTAGTATTTAATATATTTTATTATTATTCCGTTTCCAGAGACAGAATGATCTTCCATCTGCTGATTCACTCCCTAAATAGTCACAAATGACTGGAGCAAATTCAAAGTCAGGAGCCAGGCGTTTCTTCCAGGTCTCCCACATGGGTACAGAGTCCCAAGGCATTGCTGTCCTCCTTGCGTTCCCAGGCCACAGTCAGGGAGGTTGCACCAAGGTGGAGCAGCTGGAACACGAACCTGTGCTGATACGGGACACCAATACTTGCAGAATTAGCCAGTTGAGCCAACATGTAGGTCCTATATATATATTTTTTTTAAGACTTATTTTATTTTTATTGGAAAGGCAGATATACAGAGAGGACAGACAGAGAGGAAGATCTTCCGTCCGATGATTCACTCCCCAAGAGGCCACAACAGCTGGAGCTGAGCCAATCCGAAGCCAGGAGCCTCTTCCGGCCTCCCACTTGGGTGCAGGGTCCCACAGCTTTGGGCTGTCCTCAGCTGCTTTCCCAGGCCACAAGGAGGGAGCTGGACGGGAAGCGGGGCTGCTGGGATTAGAACCGGCACCCATATGGGATCCCGGGTGTGCAAGGCAAGGACCTTAACCACTGACACCATCGCCCTGGGTCCCCCATACTTCTTTTTACATTGACCGGATTCCCTCTTCCCACCATGGCTGAGCGTATAGAACTCTTTAAAATTGCCTGACACTGCTATAACCTCTGGATCCCAGTTTTCAAGACTTGACACCTACTAAAATGTTGGGTAAGGTACTGAGATTTTAAAACAACTTTCAACTACAACCAGGCTGGTTAAATTCGGATTTGGCAAAAATACTTTGGTTTCTACTATCACCTAATGGTAGCTGCCTGAAACTCACTCACTCCTTGTTTCTGCCTTCTGAAGATGTGGGCTTGCGACTGCATATCCTCTTCCCAGTAATTGCCGATTCCTGAAATACTTCTGCCTGTGGTAGTCGCATCCAATATAGGTGCTGATTCAAGTTCCATCTGCCCCACTTCTGATCCAGCTCCCAAGTGTACTTGGGAAAGTAGTGGAAGACGGCCCAAATCCTTGGACCCCTGTGCCCACGTGGGAAATTTGGTAGAAACTCTTGGCTTTGGACTAGATCAGCTTTGGCTGTTGCAACCACTGAAAGTGTGAACCAGCAGATATAAGATCTCACCAAATCTCCTCTGAAAATCCGCCTTTCCAAACAATATATTTTAAAAATTTTACTTGTAGGTCCGTGAAAACTAACTTGTCATTCAAGAAAACCTATTAAGTTTTTAATTTCAACTTTTAAAAAGAGCTGGGCTTTAACCTTTGAGATTGTGCCTACTAAGTCACATTAAAAATTATCTCCTTACGTCGTACAGATGCACACCTAGGAAAGGTCCCAAATCTATCCATTTTCCATGTGCTCAGCCCAACCAGCAGCTTGTATGTATCACACCGATCCTTATTGCTTCCCCAAGAGGATATAGAACAAGACACAACAGAGCAATCTCTTTCTTAACTTTCCCTACAGAAATGTATATCTGAGCAAAATACCATCATATAGACACCTACACAATTATGATGAACTTGAACCCAGGCTGTTAAGTCTCTTGAGCTGTAAATGGATGCTGCCATTGCTGATCCATGGACCCACATCCATAATGGAAGATTTTAAAACATAACACAAGTCATTATAAACTGAGGTGTGACTGCAAACTGGATTACTGCCTCCAAACTGACCCTAATCTTAACATGTTTCACTGTGGCCATGGCAGTTATTACTGATTTTGCAGACACAAGAGAAACAAAATGGAGTCCCACTTCCATGACTTCAAAACAAAAACACAAAAGAGAAGCAGCATGACAGACACACATAGATCTGCCATCTGCTAGTCTACTCAAGTGCCCACAACAGCCAGGGTCATAACAGGTCATCTGGAATTGTACCTAGCTTCCCCACATGGGCACAGGAACCTAGATCAGCAGGCTCACAGGCCCATTAACAGGGAGGTGGATCAGACACAGGAGCCAGAACTCACAAACTGGCGCTGACATGTCAAGTAAAGGTCATTAGTGGTGGCTTAATACACAACAAAGCTCACCCTTCATTCTGGCTTTCCAAGTAACGAAGAACTACTAACTAGAAAACCAGAACCACAGGCCAGACAAGATTGCTCAACTCTCCAAAACACAAACATCTTTACAAACAATTCCAACACTCCACCACACAATGTCCCTGATCCTTCAATTACCTGGCACTATTGGGCTAAATGGACAGAAAACAGAATTAAGCTTCGATTTGGGACAATTAAAGAAAGTATAGTCAAACTTATTACTCAACTTCCAAGAGAAAATAAATCTCAGGTTGGAAATCTTCATTTTTTGGGTACTAATATTAGTGACAGTTTATTTTACAATCAAGCTAGACTAATGTACATAATAGCAAATATGCATATGAGTTTCCGATTTTCTATGTAGTCTCCCTGAGTGACATTCCACCTCTTCATTCCAGTTAGCTTAATTCTCTTAAAATGGACTACCATCTCCTTGTTCTGGGGGGATTAGGAGAAATCAACAAGCAAGGTCAGAGTGAGCTGTGCATGAGTGTGTGTCGTGCCATAGTCCCAAATATATAAGAGATCTTTTCTCTTAGAAATAAAAGACCCCAAGACCTCCATTGCACTTTTATTTGATGTGATATTTGGGACAATTATCCAAAAGGGCCGGTATTTCCCAATTTAATGAGGTCAAAATAAAACAAGCAACAAAACAGTGTTTGGGATTTCCGTTTCTCATCCTTATCATCAACACTCACTGCCTCCCGTCATCAATATTTATTGAGCATTTACAGTGTACTAGGCACAATAGAACATACAGAAAACATTGTCCCTGCTCTTGAGGAGCTTACATTCTAAAAGAAAAAAAAAAAAATACACCTCTTTTAAAATGGCATTGCTGTTTGGTGTTTTCTGCAAAGTACTGAGAAAATGTCTGACAGGGTGAGCTTTGGGTATAATTTAGCCCCATCATTATTTGAAGAGAGGAAGAAAGGATTTTAAAGGCAGACAGTGATAGACCATTTGGGATAGGCAGTGTCTATAGGGAGATAAACACGATCTCATCAACTGAGGAAGGATTGGCTGCAGTCAAGAGGATGCGGGGAGGAGTGTGGGACGCGAGCAAAGGAGGCACAGGCTCTGACACTGAGGGGAGCCAGAGAGAGCATGCGGCCTTTTCCTTGTCCATGGCCACTCAATAGGAAGGGTTAGGGACAAGACAGACAGCTTCAAAAGGAAGGTAATTTTGTACACCTGACACATTGAAAGAATAAAGGATCAAAATCAAAGGCAAGCTTTCAGAGTTAACAAGAAATTCTTAAAAACCAAGTCATTTGGAAGCACAAAACTTACAGTCAATGTTACCCAGTGTCACGATGGGCCAAGACCATTTGTGGCTTCCTCAGTTAGAAAATGCCACATACCAAAGTGTTAAACGGAACACATACACTTTTCAAATTAACCTACCCCCCGCCCCAGAATTTTTTTTCCTTTTTTTTTTTCTTTTTGGTGGGAGAAGAGAGGGAAATATAAGAGTTGGGAATGGTAGTCATTAATAGTACTTTTGCTACTATGATAAACTCTGTATTTAAAACTTGGTTAAAGCCCATTAGCTGCCAAGAGGGAATAAGGAATAAATTTCCAAAAAATGTACAATTTTCTCTAGCCAAGTTTCAGAACCAAAAGACTAATTTACATGAAAAGCTGTAGAGAAAGTAGTTGAAAAGTCCATTCATAAAACTTTTATTCCACTTACATGAACTTAATACACGTGTTCTTAACAATTATGCTTGGATTGTTCATGAAAATTTCATAAGACATTAAACAAAGCTAGCCATCATCTCAAGTTATTTCCCTGTTAACTATTTTTTTTTTTACAGCACATGCATGTTAGGCAAGTATCAAAAAAAAAATCACAAAAGCAAAAAAAACCTAAAAAAGTTAAATACATGGGTTTTTGTTTTACTGCTGTGCTTGATATACATACATGAAGTAATGGATATCAAGCGATTCATTTTTACTGCATCTTTACTTTTACATTTGTTCTTAGGTTGCCTAAAACATTTAAATACAAATAAAATGAGTGTAGCAAAAAATAATGAAAGCAAACAGCAGGTAACTTTACAAATAATGGAATGTGAACCGTTTCTGCCCTTATCCAGAGTAACTTGGGTCCCAACCTTCTATAAAGGAACACGCCTACAGCTGTAGTCCAAGGTGTGCACATTGCGACCGAGCATCCCACACATCCACCTGGCTCAACACGCAACCCTCCTGAGGCACCTGCTCTACCACAGCCGGGCTAAGTGCTTCAAACCTTCCAGCAGCCACAAGAACTACACCTGGGACGGAGCCAATATCTCCCTTTTATTTCCCACCAGGACAAACCCATATGTAGGCAGTTTTCTTTGCTTAGACATGGAAGCAGTTTCAACACTGGCCCTTGTGAAGCCACAATGTACCAAAAGTACTATGCCAAACATTTATAACTTGTATAAAAATTCCACATCCCCATATTGGCCACCTCAAGATGAAAACAGATAACTCCCTAAACGTTAACTGGCTCTACTCCCCTAATATTAAACATAAAAACCACATGGGAAATATAGAAATTCAAATAGAAGTAACATAAACCTGTCATAAATCGTAAACAAAAAAACTATTTGTGGGACAGCATGGATGACAAATGGTCTACTGTGTAAATTTTAGCATGAGGCAGACAAATGCCAGAAGGCTGGTTAATTTTCCCCTCCTTCTCCTGCTTCGGCTTCATCTCCTTGGGTATCAGATGTCCACAACTGGCAAAAAGAAAGAAAAGATTCAGTTTGGAATACAAACAACAACAAAACACCAAAAATACAAACAGAAAACCCCTATACCTGCCAAGGTACCAGAATGTAACTATGTGTTTTCACTGGGAGACATCCCCCCGCCCCCTTTTTTAAAAGACCAATTTACTTTAAAAGTCACAGTACTAGCGAGAGAAGCAAAGATCTTGCATCAGCTGATTCACCCCTCAAATGGCCACAGTGGCCAGGACTGGTTTCCCACGTGGATGGCAGAAGGATCCAAGCTCCTGGGTCTTCTTTTGCTGGCTTTCCCATGCCATTAGCAGGGAGGTGGATCAAAGTAGACCAGAACCTGAACCAGCAGCCATGCTGGCATGGCAGGCGGCAGCTTTACTTGCCACCTTACTCTTATACCCCAGGGGAACTTTAGTGGGAGATTTGATAAAGATCATAATAAAGGCACAGAAAGCTTTATAATACCTCAACATAAAAAAAACAGGCTTATCTTTACATAAAGTCAGATATGGGAAGCTGGTTAATTACAGAAGAAATTATGCCACTAAAAATAAGAGTTATTTATATATATTTATTTATTTATAACTCTGGTAGTTATAAATAACTACCAGAGCCCCAGTGAAACAATTGAATGAGAATTACCCAACTTGATCCAATCTCAAGGAACTAAAAAGTTGACCACTCTCCCCAGGTAGAGCTCAAACTGACTCTTGCTCCAAAGAGAAGTATGATTTGAAATTCAAGTCATCAGACCATTTCTCCCAACTTTAGCTTAGAAAAACACATCTTTGTCTATCTGTATGACTTAAATGCTGTACAAAATAACATGATTAGAACATTAAACCTTCTAATAGGTAAAAGCAAAGGTGCCTAACAGTGGTAGGATTATGGATTCAATTTTTTTTATTAATTAAACAGTTACAGGATAACATAATTTTAAAATTATTCCAGCTGCATCAATGGCCATCACAGAGGAACTGGCTTTGTGGCACAGGGGATCAAGCTTTCACCTGCAACTCGTACCCATCACAATGTGAGCCAGTTTGAGTCCCAGCTTCTGATCTAATTTCCTGCTAATGTGTCTGGCAAGGCAGTGGAAGATGGTGTAAGCACTTGGGCCCCTGTCATCTAGGAGACCAAGGTGGAATTTCTGGTTCCTGGCTTCAGGTTGTCCAAAAACTGGCTATTATGGTCATTTTTGGAATCAAACAGTGGATGGAAGTACTCTTTCGTTCTGCCTTTCTAATAAATATACAAATCATTTTCAAAGAAGCATTTTATGGTGGTTACCAGAAATGGCTACAGGATTAACTCAAGATAATCAATCTTAAATTTCATTTCATCTACACACCAAAAAAAAAGGGGGAGAAAATCTCAAAAGTATTTTTCTTTTCCCAAATTACCTGTATCTTCATTTGTTTACTAACCAAATGTATACATAACCTGGAAATAAGACTATATACAACTCCCCAAATGACCTGTTGAAACCTGTACCTTCCTCTTCAACAAGTTTTATGAGCCAACATAATGTTGTCCTTCTAGTTCTAATCTCAAAGGATGTTAAAAATTCTCTTTATAAGCATTTCTCTTTCTCAGGTAATGTGGTGATAGCCAACCAGATTCAGACGTAAAAACTAGGTTAGGCTTTAGCAAATTTTTTTTCAATCTGTAATGATATGGTTGTTGACAGTAAGGCAGCTCAAAGATACAGCAACAAGTGACGGGGGGGGGGGGGAACCTTAATTAGAATCTTGGGTTTCTACTCAGTTGTTGCCCTTCATGGTTTATGAATATCAAAATTCAGCTGGTAATGTATATACGGTACATTCAAACCTGGGAGCCCTCTCAAAAATTAGCAGGAACATGCACACACAGTAACAATTCTCAGGCTCCACCCTTTCCAGGCATCTCAAAAGGCAGGCAGTGTGGTGCAATGAGTTAAGCAACAGCTTGCAAACTGCCCAAAATGGAATCCCAGCTACTTCGCTTCCATGGTTCCTGGCTTCAGGTTGTCCAAAAACTGGCTATTATGGTCATTTTTGGAATCAAACAGTGGATGGAAGTACTCTTTCGTTCTGCCTTTCTAATAAATATACAAATCATTTTCAAAGAAGCATTTTATGGTGGTTACCAGAAATGGCTACAGGATTAACTCAAGATAATCAATCTTAAATTTCATTTCATCTACACACCAAAAAAAAGGGGGAGAAAATCTCAAAAGTATTTTTCTTTTCCCAAATTACCTGTATCTTCATTTGTTTACTAACCAAATGTATACATAACCTGGAAATAAGACTATATACAACTCCCCAAATGACCTGTTGAAACCTGTACCTTCCTCTTCAACAAGTTTTATGAGCCAACATAATGTTGTCCTTCTAGTTCTAATCTCAAAGGATGTTAAAAATTCTCTTTATAAGCATTTCTCTTTCTCAGGTAATGTGGTGATAGCCAACCAGATTCAGACGTAAAAACTAGGTTAGGCTTTAGCAAATTTTTTTTCAATCTGTAATGATATGGTTGTTGACAGTAAGGCAGCTCAAAGATACAGCAACAAGTGACGGGGGGGGGGAGAACCTTAATTAGAATCTTGGGTTTCTACTCAGTTGTTGCCCTTCATGGTTTATGAATATCAAAATTCAGCTGGTAATGTATATACGGTACATTCAAACCTGGGAGCCCTCTCAAAAATTAGCAGGAACATGCACACACAGTAACAATTCTCAGGCTCCACCCTTTCCAGGCATCTCAAAAGGCAGGCAGTGTGGTGCAATGAGTTAAGCAACAGCTTGCAAACTGCCCAAAATGGAATCCCAGCTACTTCGCTTCCAACCCAGAATTACTGGCTCTTGGCTTTGGCTCAGATCAGCTCAGGCTATTGCAGTCATTTAGATTGATAGTGGATGGAAGATCTTTCTCTCCTTCTGTTATTGTACTTTTCAAATTAAAAAAAAAAAAAACACATTGTTTTTACAAGGTATTGGTAGCGAACTAAAATAAAGTTGGAAAAACTTTAAAAGTCTAAATAACCCTGTAACTGGGGCTGTGACGCAGCAGGTAAGGCTGCCATGTGAGATGCCAGTACCCCATATGGCACCAGCTCCATTTTTGCTAATGCCATCTATGAGAGATGCATCAAAAGTTCCTTATTACAGCCAATCCCTCAACCTCTTCAACTGACAAACAGCAGATGCTTGGCAATTTTTCATCTGAGTCTCAAAACTTCTAATTTAGTATTTATCTGAAGAATAGGAAAACCTAAGAAATCAAGGACGCACATGAAGCAACTATTACGGCTGGATTTCAAACTGCTTTAAAAAAATTGGAGCTTAAGGGTTAGCATTGTGGCACAGAGGCTTAAACTAGTGCTTCTAATGCCCATGCAAGAACTGGTTTAAGTCCCGTCTGTTCCACTTCCAATCTAGCTTTATGCTAATGTCTCTGGGCATCCCCACGAGAGCCGTGGATCAAGCTCCTGATACAGGCCTAACCCAACTGCAGTTGTTATCAACTTCTGGGGATTGAACCAGTGAATGGAGATTTCCCACTGCCTTCCAAATAAATCAACGAAGCTTTATACATATATATATAATTGCATTCAAAATATTTCAGTGATAGCAGCATTATGGTTCTTTTTCTAAAAAATCTGAAATGTAACAAAATAATGATCTACCATAAACTAGCCGTTTACAAAACCAGAAACCAGGCAAAAATAATTTCTACCCGAGTTATTCTGAGATCTTATAACTTACTAATGCCCTAACATATATATGGCAGGAACCTTGACAGACTTTAAGAAAAATATTTTTCTCAAGGAATGTTAACCATAAGCGAGTGTCAGTAAACTGATATTAAAAACTCTTGTCACCACCCCAGCTGTAGGCAACTGTCTAGGTTGAAAAGCAGCTAACAGCTGGCAGGCATTCTGGATCTGGTTAATGCCAAATTTGTGTTAACAACATCAGTGTGCCAATTAATAGTAGCCCCCCTTTATTTTAAGATACGTGGGTGGCAGACTTTGGCACTCCAGCAGAGAGTCTGGACCACTGAACTCAAAACTCCATCTATTAGGGAAATTACAGGCTCTTGGTTTGACCATGGAGTACATATGGCAGAACTGGATCTCCTCAGTTGTTGAAGCCTGTGCAGTAGACAGCATGCCCAGATGAACTTGAGGGACATGACAAGCAGTTCACTGAGGCCTGTGGAGGACATCTAGTACCATGGAGTACAGAACAAACCGCACAGTTTTCCAGGCTAAGCTTTGACAGCAAGTATCTGGGAGAACTGACTCTAGTTGCCTGTGTTAGCCAGTGGACCTTAGGATTTCCTCATCCTTGGAGCAAAAGTCAACAGCATCTCAGAACTACAAAGAACACTTTAGCAGTGACCTCAGAATACGATCCACACTGGGGACCTGGGATGTCAGGCGGCTCTCCCAGTCCCAGGGCAGTAATGTGGTTGGGTTCCTGAGAGCAGCCCTCTTCCCATTTTCCCCAGATACACAAACAAAAAGGAGACTGAGGACAGTTGTCTCACCCACTTTCCTCTATTCCTCTACCCTCCCCACCGTAACCAGTAGTCCACATGGGCATGTATCCTTAACTATGTAAACATCACCAAAAATAAACTACAAAAATTATAAATATTTTTTTTTTAAAAAAGCACTCTTGTGTCTAAGTGGAAAGAATGAAAGCTTGAGATGAAAAGTAGTATATCTGATTAAAAGTCCAAAGGCGGTGAACCACAAAATTTGGGAAATTAACTTGTAACTAATCAAAGCATGCAACAGATTTTTATTCCTTCATGCAATATTTCACTTAATGTAAGACAGGCTTTTTTTTGTTATGGTTTTAATAGTAGACAAGATACTATGTCTAGTAAAAAATTCAGAAATGCTCCTTTTAGTAAATTAACAATCTTTCAACACGAATCACTAATGATATGCCATACTTACTGTCAAGTTGTCCCTCAGTAATTGCATTATTAGCGTGCTGTCTTTGTATGACTCTTCACTTAACGTATCAAGTTCAGCAATGGCTTCATCAAAAGCCTATGATTTAAAAAAAAAAGTGTTTTAGTGTTCAAGTAATGCAGTTTAATAATAAAGTTTGCTAGTTTTCCACATCATGGGCAAAACACATACCGTCTTCGCCAGTGAGCAGGCTTTTTCTGGGGAATTCAGAATCTCATAATAGAACACAGAGAAGTTAAGGGCCAGACCCAATCTGATGGGATGCGTGGGCTGCATCTCCTTTTTGCTGATTTCAAAAGCTTCTTGGTATGCCTGCTGTGACTGATCCACAATCCCTGAATAATACAAAACACACTAAAATACATTAATAAACTTTGCACTTCATATTCGCCCCTTTTAAATCAACACTCTCATGGACTACTCCTGATACAAAATTAGCCACTGGTTAATTCCAGGAGCAACAACAAAATAATCTCATCACAGCTAAATTGTTTCAGTAGTTTTGCCATGACCACTATTTTTGAAACTGTGGGGGCAACATGTGTACATAAAACTGACTTCCCAGCAGATACACATTTTAGAACACCAATATTAAGTAACAAATATAGCTCTTTAGAACTCCAAAAAGCCTGACAGCATTTATAGCTCCTTACTAGTATTGCTAGCCAATTAAAAACCAAATATTTGCACCTCCAAGAGATAGCTTTCACACTGTTTTACTTCACACAAATACAAGTAACAGGCCTGAAAAACAGCATACCCTTCTTGTCATCACCAGCAGCGACTTCGGCCAGGTAACGGTAGTAGTCTCCTTTCATTTTCAAATAGAAGACCTTGCTCTCTGCTTGTGAAGCATTGGGGATCAAGAACTTTTCCAAAAGAGACTGAGGAAGAAAGCAAACAGGTAAGAATGAGACATTTATAAAACTAGCAGCTTTTAAAAAAGAACCTATCTTAAAATTTGAAACTTTAAATCCTAGTCACTGCCAATAATACAATCAGGAATGTAGTAAGCTTCTGAATTTGTGGTAAAGGAAGAATGTTTGAGGCAGCAATACCTAAAACTCAAAATGAGTACTTGGTTAATCTGGTGTTATTTACAGATGATCCAATGGAAATATCATCCCAACACTGTCATCAATTCACCTTCTGGCATCAATAAAAAGGAAAAGCCTAAAGTCCCTATTCAAAGCTGCTCCTTTGCTCACTGAATTCAGATTGGTAGAATTATGAGATTTATAGACCTAACGAGTAGACCTTTCATTTCACAAAAGTGATTTTTAGATACTAGGATGTGTTTATGGATGATTATAAATAGGCAAAACAAAATCATCCTTACTTGGAAATTGATCATTTAAACCAATACTGTCAACTATCCCACTTTGTCTTGTTAATACTGAGATATACTTTGGGGATCACTATGAGGTCAAATTTCAGCTAGGCTAAGCCCCCAATAAATGAGTTCTTACAAGAAAAGAAGCTCTACAGTTTTTGGTTTCTAACCTAGGAGGTTGTAACACAGCGAAAAAAATTATTTATCTTTATTGGAAAAACAGATATATATAGAGGAGAGAGTTTCATCCACTGGAGAGTCTCATCCACTGGTTCATTCCCCAGGTGACTGCAAAGCCAATCCAAAGCCAGGCTGCTGCTTCTTCCAGGTCTCCCAGGTGGGTACAAGGGCCCTAGCATTTGGGCCATGCTCCACTGTTTTCTAGGACCATAAAGTGGGAGATCGATCAGAAGAGGAGCAGCTGAGACTAGAACCGGTGACCATAAGGGATGTTGGCACTGTAGGTAGAAGAGTAACCTGTTGATCTACCATACCAGGTCCACAGAGCATCTACTTAACAAGTAAAATGCTTTCAAATAACAACTATGACTTTGTTCCAAAGGTGATGGGGTGAGTGGTAAACCAACTAACCCAGTCTCTGCACTTTCACAACTCCAGCTGCATACCCATATGATGTGACAGCAGGGCCAAGTTACACTGTTCGGGAAGCAGCTGGAGGTGTAGCAATCCTGAAATGATGCTTCCTATAATTTGCAGCAAAATCTATTACACCACACTCATCCTTTCAGACGAGTGGAAACATCTTTGAAAGTGTTTTGCCCATGGTCTTTATGCCACCTACGGTTGTTTTTTGAAGATACACCTTCAACAATGGAAAGCAGTTGCATTTAAATAGTATGCAAGCCAACTCATTCAGGAGCAAGCTATCAGGACAGACACTGACAAACTCGACACCACCCACAATAGGCTGGAGTGGTGAGAGCATAAAGCTTCCTTAACGAAATGAGAAAAATGTAGCACTAAGGATTCAAGACAACATCAGTCAAATTCAGTAAGACAAAAATTTTAATATGGTCCACAATTGGAATCTGTCAACCAACTAGTGAGAGTAGTCTTTTCAAATGCCTATAAAGAGAAGCAAGCATTACTTGTATGTGAGCTTTTTCATCTCCAATGGAAAAATAGTTGACAGGATAGTTATTTGCAAGATAATAAAGAAGTGATTTAAGTAGGTAAGCAGTAATGAAGACTAATTTTCTATATCTGAAAAATGAAAACAATAAATACAAACATCATAAATCAGACATGCAGTCAGAGCTAGTACTGTGGCTCTGGTTTCCCATATGGGTGCTGGTTTGAGTCCCAGCTGCTCCATCTCTGATCCAGTCTCTTGCTAATGCCCTCAGAAAAAGCAACAGAAAATGGCCCAAGGAGTTGGACCCTTGCTCCCACTTGGAAGACCTGGAAGAAGCTCCTGGCTTCAGCCCTGTCTATCTCTGGCCGGTGTGCTTATCTGGAGAGTGAATCAGCAGATGAAGATTTCTTTCTCCATTTCTGCAACTCTTCCTTTCAACACAAACAAATCTTAAAAGAGCGAGCTAACAAACAGAAAATCGGGGCGGGTGGGTAATAGAAAATGGGAAATAATCTTTCAAAATGTACCAAAAATTTTAAACTATTTTGTTAAACCTATAATACAACATTCTGAATTTGGTTAATTTACAGCAATGCAATGAGCACTGATGACTGAGACTAAGAATGTGAATTAGAAAGCAACAGAGGGAGGTGCAACATTCCATGAGGTATTAGTACAGGGAGCCCCAGCCTGAATGACAGCCAAGACCGAGGAAACATTCATTCATACTGTAAAATAAATACTCAAGTAAAGGCATTAGTATTCTCATTTAAATAAAATCTACTTCAAAAGACTGGTTAGAAGTCAAAGTTGGACAATAAGCAGCAAGAATACTAACCACAGCCCTTAAGAGAGTAGCAATTAAACTCACTGTTGGGTGTATGCGTAAAAGGCAGAGAAATAAAAAATCTGCTTTAATCCTCTTCTAACAATTTTACTACTTCATTTTGGGCTCCTTAATCTATAATTTGTATAGCAAGGAAGTGATGGTGGGAAAAAAACTTTTTTTAAAATCCATAGAACTGGATGGAACAGGTTTGTGGTGCAACAGAGGGTCTGCTCTGGTACACAGGAGACAGCTTATTGCATTTAACTCCCCAAATGGCTGCAATGGCCGGAGCTGGGCTAGTCCCAAGCCAGGAGCTTCTTGCCAGTCCTCTGGGTAGTGGCGCAGTCTCCTTTGAGCCATCCTTTGCTTTCCCAGGCCCCAAACAGAAGTTGGAATGGAAGCTGAGATGCTGGGGTTTGAACTTGTACGCTGGCACCACAGGCAGATCAGTCTGTTATGCCACTGTGTTAGAGCCAAACAGCTCATTTCAAATAAAACAAATGAGAGCAAATTGATTCTATTAGCTTGACATCCTAAAGGTTTTTTCAGATAGTCTTCATCATTAAGAGCTCATTATCAAATTAAAGTAACTAATGGGGCAGGCATAGTAGCACCAGCAGGATAACTAGTTAGTTTTTAACTTCTGGTTTCAGCCTGATCCAAGCCTCAAATTTTATGTCAACCAGGGAGTGAATCAGTGGATGGATGGAAGACCTTGCACTGCCTTTCAAATAAATAATACAAATAGCATTATAAATAAATAATACAAATACAATTTAGAAAATAAAGACATTGCAAAACCAACCTACACTAAAGGAGAATAAAGAGACACAACAAAATGACAATAGTGGTACAATTTGTGATAGTTAAATCTACAGGTTAAGTAATATATCAATTTTATTGAGCTTCCTGATTTCAACTATTATACTGTGGGTAAAATGCTAAACATTTGGGGTATTAGGCAAAGGATACATGAGAGCACTTCAAAAAAGTTTACGAATGTTTATTTTTCTGGGGAAAATGAAGTCCATGCAAAAATTTTTTGTAATGAGCCTTCCAAGAACTTTCTAAAAAAGATGTTTTAGTCTTTCCTACTTTTTTATAAATCTCAAATCATTTCAAAATAAGTTTATAAAATAAGATGTACCTAGTGAGAAGCAGAATTATTGCATGTAGAAAAGAAAATTTTCTTTAACACAATTATTATCTAAAAACTAAATGAGAAAACTTTCAAAATAGTGACTATTTCTGGAAGATACAAGTGCTGATGGATTCACCCTAACATACTTCTGTGCTCACATGCTTTTGAAATGCCCATGCTAGACTGGAAGTACTTTCACATTTATGAGAAATGGAACAAAAATAACCATGTGTTTGCAAACAATATGGATGGTGAAAAACAATTCTCATGTCTTCTCGTAAGGCATTTTACCAAATGGTCATAAGTAAATCTATGTCCATGAAGGCAACTGTATATAAAGTATCATTATCAAAAGCCATCCATCTCTGACACATTTATACACTGAAATTTTAAAGTATAGCTGTGGGGCTGCCATTGCAGTACAGCAAGTTAAGTAGCTGCCTGCAACACTGCTATCCCATATGAGCCCTGGCTGCTTCATTTCCCATCTAGCTTCCTGCTAACGGCCTGGGAAAAGCAGTGGAAGATGGTCCAGAAGATGTCTGGGTCTGTCACTCACAAGAGGCCCAAATAAAGTTCCTGCCTCCTGGCTTCAGCTTGACCCAGTCCTGGCCATCTGGGACATGAACCAGTGAAGGGAGAATTTATCTAACTCTACCTTTCAAAAATAATTTTTTTAAATTAGCTTTCAATCTAACAATAAGACTGATATTACATAAGGCAATAGAAACATTAATGTATGTTCTATGACCTCTTGCAAGTAACTGAACCTGAGTTTTTCTCTGATAAAAAAGGCTAGCAGTAGGCATTTGGCACTGCAGTTCAGAGGGTCACAGTGCTCAGCCACTTCCGACTCCAGCTTCCTGCACGTGTGTATCCTAAGGTGCAACACAAGACACACAACCATTTGGAAGACCTACTGTAGGGAGCTGGGAAGTGAACCAACCTGCCTTTCAAATAAGCAAGTCATTAAGCATGAGAAGGATAGCTAGGTTCAGTGTTCCTTAGCCCTGAAAATTTAACGATGCCATAAAATGCAACTCTTAATTATTCAGAAGTAATTTTCAATTTAAATTGTAATCCTCCAGCACAACATAGTTAAGATTTCTAGTCTTTTAAAAACCAATTCTCTTGCTCAAACGTCATTCCCCTCCCTGGAGTGTCTACTTTATTCTATAGAACCACTGAGCCTTTTTATCATTCCCAGATCTCTACCACATTTATGGGCTACAGCAAGAGTTCATCAAATGGAGGACAGTTTCTCATGCCCCCTTGTGGCTAGGTTTCCATACCTATCCTTCTGAACCTCAACTTTTAGAGCTGCTTTCATCCAATCAACTAGAAGTGAACTAATAATTTAGTAGGTATTTACTGACATTGACTTTAGACCCTTACCTTTCTATGCACTGTTTGATCCACCAGAGTAAAATTTTAAGCTGTAAACATGAGAAAAGTAACACATAATACAAAGAAACACAGCTAATTTCGAAGATAGGTGGGGGCAGCTTTCTGTGACGCCAGCACTCAGTCCTAGCTACTTCCTGGCAGCTCCTTGCTACTACACCTGGAAAAGTACCAGAAGGATTCACAGTCCTATAGTGCAAGGCCCCGGTCATCCACAGAGGAGACCAGGGTGAAATTTCTCGCTCCTGGCTTTGGCAGGGCTCAGCCATAGTCAAAACACCCACTTGGAGAACAAAGCAGCAGATGAAAAGTAGTAAGAGGAGGGGTGTTTGTGTGTGTGACTGCCTTTCAAATAAATGCAAAAAAAAAGTACCCCCAAGTACTGGGGGGGGGGGAGGTAAATGAATCACAGATCAATGCTAGGACGGGACCCATCACTCAACTGAATAAATTTTTCAGATGTGGATGGTGAATCTTCACCATTCAACCTCTCGTAACCAAAAAATATGATAAAGCAAAACCTAAAGCTTTGTTGCCTTCCCATGTCAGCATAATGGCGAGCTGGCTGATGCGCTCAAGAGCATGGACAATGCAGAAAAGAAAGGCAAACTCCAGGTTCCTTTCATCATCACACTGTCAGGTTGCTAAATATGACGCCGAGGCATGGTTACCCCAGTAAGACCCATCAGTGATGAGCACAGAGCAGGGAAAACGAAGAAGCTCCCTAAGCTGTGGCGCAGTCAGTCCGACTTGCAATTGAAAGCTCTGAAAAAACAGCAGAATAATCTGCTCCAATTCCACCAGACTGGTGCCACTGCACTGACCACCTAAGTTGGCATTACGGACCATAAAGGGAAGCTGAAACCACAGCCAGGGTAAATCCCAAGATTCTTTTTTCTATGGATAGAATATATGCACACAAAGTCTCCATGGAGAAAGAAGAAAAATGAAAAGTATAAAAGGTGCCTCGGGTTTGGATTGGCTCAGTCCAGGGCCACTGTGACCATATGGGGAGTGAATCTCTATTTGTGTAAATCCGCCTTTCCAATAAAAAAAATAAATCAATCTCTTTTAGATCAATCTCTTTTATACAGACAGGAGGAATGCCAGAAAAGCAGATCTTCCATCTGATGGCCTACTCCCCAAGTGACTGCAACGGCCAGAGCTGAGCCAATCTGAAGCCAGGAGCTCTTCCGGGTATCCTATGTAGGTGCAGGGTCCCAAAGTCCTGGACCGTCCTCAACAGCTTTCCCAGGCCACAGGCAGGGAGTTGGATGGGGAGCAGGGCTGCTGGGATTAGAATCGGCGCCCATATGGGATCCTGGTGCGTTCAAGGCAAGGATTTTAACCACTACGCTACCATGCCGGGCCCAAAATAAATCAAATCTTAAGAAAAAAATCAACTTGAAGAAGAAAACGAACACAAAGCAAAATTAAATCTAGTCTGCAGAATCATGAGTTTGGATCACTTATGGAACCAGAAAAATTCCAGCAGGCAATCAAAGATCAGGAACATTTATGAATATGGAGTAAGTGTAAACGCTCAGCAGGTAAACCTACATTTCATAGGTCACCTATATCCCATAGAAGGATGTGTGTTCGTGTTCAACTCCTAGCCCAGATTCCAAATGTTGAAGATTTACTATCAGAAAGATAGTGAAGAGTGATCTTCACCTGCTGGTTCACTCCCTAAACATGGGCCAAGACTGGAGCTCCACCATGTCTACCATGTGATTGGCAAGTCCATGCACCTGGGCCACCTTCCATTACCTTCCTGTGCACATTAGCCGGGAGCTGGAATGAAGGTAGAGCAGCCAGTAGCTTAACCCACTGTGCTACAGCACCACCCTGCTCTAGTTTCTTTTAAATGTGGACACCGAGGTAACAATGATGTTTCAAGGAGTGGGGTTCCTGTTCTTCATGCAGAAGGCTGGGATCAGGTTCCCAGCTCCTGGCTCCCTCTCCCCACCCCCACCTCTGCCCAGGACCAGCTGTTTCAAGAATCTGGGGAGTCAAATCAGATTAAAGCTGTCATCCAAGAAATTCTTTAAAAAAATCAAAAAAGTAACCCCTGAGGATAGGTATGCTGACCCTTGTGAGCAGTCTCCTCCCTGCTTCCTCCCTCCTACAGCGTCCATTTTACAAGTTGACACCAATTGTGGCTTTAGCTGAATATCTCACTTCTCAGGGTATCTTAAAACTTGTATATGGTTCTTGTGTAAGTTCCCTGCTATAGGGTTGTATAGTAGGGCTGAACACAGCTCTTCCACATCCACCCAAAACGTACGGGATTTCCCCACCTCTTATACTCCATTCTATTATTTGGGCCTATTTCTATCAGTAAGTTCTTATGATTGGAAAGAAAAAAAAAAAAAAAAAGCAGGGACTTTCAACACTTATAGCAAGCAGTCCATAAACACATAGAGCATTTTGCACAGTTTGTTACTTAAGTCTTAGGGCCTGGTGCGATGGCCGAGTAGCTGGGGTCCTGGTGGCCCCACTTCCCATCCAGCTCCCTGCTTGTAGCCTGGGAAAGCAGTCGAGGACAGCCCAAAGTTTTGGGACCTTTTAGCCACACAGGAGACCCAGAAGAAGCCTCTGGCTCCTGGCTTCAGACTGGGCCAGCTCTGGCCGTTGCAGCCACCTGGGGAGTGACCCAGAGGACGGAAGATCTTCCTCTCTGCCTTTCCTCTGTGTGTCTGCCTTTCCAATAAAAATAAACAGATCTTTAAAAACAAACAAAAAACACCCAAGTCTTAAATTAATCCACAGTGAGGTAATGTCATGGAGGTACCAAAAAGGTAAGCAGTAACATCTGACATTAAATACCACTGTGGAGGTACAGTAACAACAATTTTTCCAAACACCCAGTTATTAGCATTTTGAAAGACACAGAATCAGAGAAATGTAATACCACCTGCCCAAAGGCAATGAGATCCAAATCCAAACGCTAAGAAATCTATCTACCTAAAGGTAGTAACACTTTTTTTCCCTTATTTTTAGAAATGACACAGGAACATCCTTGTAATCCAATTAGACATTCTTGACAAGTCTCCTCTATCAGTTGAGAACAAAGAATGAGAAAGGTGGAAGCAAAAGCCAATTTTAATGTAATCACCTTAGGATGTAATTTTTGAACATCTTCTACACAGGGCACCAATTATTCATCGCAATTTTCCATTGGGAACTTGGCTGCTTCCTATCAGATACTGTTCTCAAGTTTCAATTCTACTGGCAGATTCACATTTTAAGTAGATTTTGGAGGTAGGAATTTCACTACTATCAGGATGAATGCAATCCAGGTACGTCTTTTTTTTTTTTTTTAAAAGATAGATTTTTCAATTGAAAGTTTTAGAGAGAAGGAGAAAAAGAGAATCAAGATCTTCCATCTGCTGTCTCACTCCCTCCACGATTGCAATGACCAGAGGTGATCTGGCCCAAAATTGGAAGCCAGCAGATTCTTCTAGGTTTTCCACGTAGGTGCAGGGGTCATCCTCAGCAGCTTTCCCAGGCACATTAGCAGGGAGCAGGACGAGAAGCGGAAGAGCAGCAGTTAACTCAAGCTGGAGTCTATATGGGATACTGGCATTACACGGCATTACAGGCACAAGTTTAATCTGCGCCTCAAGTACATCATTATAAACTCTGAACAATGGTGTTTGTTTTGAGAAGCAAAAAAATCTATGAGTTAACATGTACTTGGATCAATAAATACATCTCTCTTAGAAAAGCATCTGCAATTAATAAAAAGTACTTAACTCACCAATAGTACAACTCCTTTTAAAAACTTAAGATTCCCAAATCAATTCACAAGTTTGGGATTAATCTTCACCAATTTCCCCCTTCCCCCAACCAATACCTTGGGGGAAGGGTCTTTGGGTGTCCTTTAATTAATTAAGTCCTGTAATTAGTATATTTATTGAATGCTTCCCCAATGACAATGTCCTCTGGGAGATTCCTGCCCAGTGAAATTTCAAGATATGTGGGGACTGTATAAAAACTCAAACATAAATCCAATACAGCAAACAAGGACACTACTACAAATTAAGTTCAACAGGACACAGGGAATTACTGACCAAAGCACATAGAAATACACCTAGTAATACGGTATCTGCATTATGGTTGCCAAGCAGATTGTTCTTCTCATGCAAAATATTAAGTATAAGAAATTCCTTTAGTACACTTTACAATACCAAATCCTAATGGGCCTAGTCTCGGGGAGATTAAAGAATGTAGCTAATTGTCTATTCTTGAAAATGACTTCAGATTTAAAAATTGTATATCATAAAATGACCAATACGAATCCACAAAAGAATGAGAACAGGCAATGCAGCAGTAAAAGTTTGTGACCACAAGAAATTAAGATAGGCATTTCAAAATGAGGACTCCTGTGTATTCTAAATGTAAGGCTGTCACGGTGAATTAAGGCAAGACATGGGAACTAGGAAGAAATAACAGAATGCCAGGAATTTGTCACTAACAAAAAGATTCAGTCTAAAAAACCGATTATAAATTTTTAAAAAATAAAAACAGAACTATTTTTGCATGGCTACCAACCTACCTTTTTAAGAGGCAAAATTTGATGTCATTTCTTTGCTTGTTTTCTGTAACCTTTAAATGTTGCCCCTCAATCAGCCAGTAGCATTACAGTGGCCCTGTGAGCTGACCCATTGTCAGCCCTTCCTAGCTACAAAAACTGAAAAATTGCTCTTAAATGCAGCAATGCTTCCTGTCCCAACCCATGTTCTGATAGAATGATCTAGAATGTAACAACCATTACAGAACCTTAATCTGCTGAATGAACCAAATTCCATTTAATCGCTAAGAGGACACTATGTTCTTCTTCCTCAGGCACCTGACAACACCGACTAAAAGTCAGAATGCCCTCCACCTTCTACCAGCAAATATGTATTTACCAAGATTCTACATTTCCAAAACTATGTCATTATTTTGGCTCTGTTACATTCATGAATTATAATAATCAAAAGACAAACTAAAACTAGGGAAAGCTTATTATCTAGAACTTAAGTGATTCCAAGAAAACAGCCAATAATTTCCAAACAATGAATCTAGACTTATTCAAAACTGTGTCTCAGCTACTCATGAAAAATTCAGCAAATAAGCGGACACGTTTATGCTTCTACTTAAAACAGCCAAGTACAAGGATCCTTCAAAAAGACCATAGAAATTAAAATTAAACGTAATATGGCATAAAAAGTTGAAATTTATGGTTTCCTCATGAATATGCATTTCCTATAAACTTTTAGAAGACTTATCATACCACTACATAAGTAAAACTATTTTTAAATTAACCAGTAATAAAACTTCTACTGAACCACTTGAGGTGTTACCAGTTTCTTCAAAGATAACTTAGCTGTTCCTCAGAAAGACAAAAATGAAAAGGAAAGTATACATTGTAAGGTCTGATTACCCTGAAGTGATTTATTCCCCCTTTCTAAATGAAATGTATATGCTAGTTTGAGATTTCTCTCTGGTTTTTGTAAGTCAATCAAATTCCATATTTTTTTTTTAGCTCAAAGCTATAGATCATGGTTATCTCTGATAGGCAAGACCCCATATTTAAACCTTGTTTACAGAAAATGGGTAAATAGCTCATTGATTTTAAGCAAATTTCTGTTCATCTTCCTTTTCTTAAATCATTTCCACTTCACATATTCTGTCACGTAACTATACATTATATCTCAGTGGATGTCAACATGTCATAAGGACACTCTCCAATTACACCTTCCCACAATATCATATAAATTCTTTATACTTGGAAACATACAAAAAGCCAAATGTGATAGGCATAAGTAAATACGAAAATAAATTAGTGAAGAATAAATTAGTGGTTTTTAGCTTGCAAAATCCTTAAGAAGGCCTGGTTCTAATAACTAGTGATTTTTAGCTTTAAAAAATTTCAGGTAGCAGTTTTTAAAAGCCCAAGGTGTATATTAATATATTCAAGTCAGGAAGGACCCAAAGCTGCCTGGCTTCCTATCTTGCTCTTGCTTAATGGCAGTTCTGTGAGTAAGAGATAAAAATCAGTGCCAGGGAGCCACACCTTAAAACTGCCCTAGGCAAATAAAATGCAGAGCAGCATAATAAAATGCAACTTAGGTTAACTGAGTCATTATTACAGTCGCAGATCACTCAAGTGGGCTGCCAACTGTTAAAAATGCTAGATGGAGAGCCAGTGTGCAGTGCGTTGAGCCTGAGAGGCCAACATCCTCGATGGACACCAGTTCCCCCGCCAGCCAGCCGCTCCACTTCCTGTCTAGCTCCCCACTAATGCAGGTGGAGAAGCAGCCAGATGGCCCAAGTCCTTGGGTGCCAGAGACCTAGAGAAAACTCAAGGCTCCTGGCTTCTGCTTGGCAGACATTCTGGCTGCTACAATCATTTGTGGAGTAAACCAGAGGATGGAACCTCTCTCTCTCTCTCGGTGAAAACTCCGCTTTTCAAATTAATAAAATCTTTAAAAAAAAAAAAATGTTAGGCGCACACCTGGTCACCTAAGCACAGAAAAAGAGACATAGATTCCTTGTCTTACAGAAGTGGCTTTCACATTTTAAAATGAAACCTTTGAAAATATGGGTGGACTTTCTGCCCACCTCTCCACCCTCACTCTCACACTCAACTTTAAAAGCTTCTTATTTAATTTAGCTTATTAAGAAAGCCCACAGGTAAAGAACCAAGGCTGCTATAAATACTAAATTTTTGAAAATTCAAGCTGAAAAAAATCTTGAAAAATTAGCAACACTGCTAACTTAAATCTACTACCCTCTTCCCGGGAAGACCCTGTGCTCATTCAATATAATACTTTGAGCATCTAGTATGTGCTGAAACACACGACATCCTGGGGAAAGCCCTGAAAGGAGCAAGGATGGAAGCAGACGCTTCTTTCTCCAAATCTATCTATGATGGTAAAGCAACGGAAATCTCACTGTCTAAACCACCAAAGTGAAAATTTCAGGAAGGCTGCAAGGAGCCAGTGTCACCCTGAAGGACAGAGGCCCCACAGGCAGATAAGCACCAACCCCCTCAACAACCACAATTAGTCATTCCTGTGCACTGGCTCCCCGCAGTTTTGCTTTTTGTTGTTTTGTTTTGCCTTAGTAGGGAAAGCAAAGGCAGCAGCTTCCCTGGGAGCACCTCCCAATCAGTATTTCCTGTGTGCTAAGCATGCAGGTACCTACCTGGGATTTGCAAACAAGCTTGTTAGTAGAAGGTGAATGCTACCAAGTCCCCTCTATTCCTGATATTTACTCTTTTCTTAAAGCAAATTAGAACTTGTAATAACCAAAACAAAAATTACTATAAATTCTGTAAGTGGAGTTAAATGAGTGAAAAACATGAGTTAACAAGATTCAGTAACAAGTACAGGAGAGCAGCTACTAAGAAAAGCAAAAAATATTTTTATTATAAAGTGGCAGTTACACATATTACCTAAGCAAATTGGAAAATATATATGCCATTTAGTCTCGATAAAAGCAAGTCATTTTTTTCATATTAAAATGATAGCAGTTATTATTGAGATTTCAAATAAACAAAAATGCACCCAAGACAGACGCCACATGAAACATCGTAAGCGTGAGCTCACACTAATTAGGCTATGCTATTCTTTTGAAAGACAATTTGAAAAAAAAACACCATTTGAAAATACTCAGTTTATGAACTGACACTGTTAGTAAAGACTTCTGTAAAGGGATCCTGTCATCACAATTTCAACCCAAATCATAAACTATGGCCATATCAGAAATAAATCCCGAATTGCTCATTTTAGTAGTTCCTCTGCAAATAAGGTTCAAAAAATCTTGTACTAAGCTTTCCATAACAAGTCGCAGATCCATGCCTTACACAGATGTTGTCCCTTTGTCTATATACCCATACCCCGCCATACTAACAATCTAAGTGCAGTCATTTAAATTAGAACTATTTCTAAACTTCTGGAATAGTAAAAAGCATTCTTGGGCTAACTGGTTTGATCATCTTCTAGTTTTAACCAAGCAAATCTGAATAGAAAGCCATGTGTAAGACATTAAATGTGTAAACTATAAAATTAAACAAAAGGTCATGCTTAGAACTGTAGTGTCTTCAATACAGATGTTGAACTTTTTTTTAAAAACATTTAAAATACTCCTTGACTTAGAAAATCAAGTCTGAGTGGTTCATAATCTTTCTTCCTGGTACCAATGTTCCAATGCTTAACACCTAAACGCAGGAAGAGACAAAAGCATCCCACTCTTGTGTGTAGATGACTCATCACATTAACATCACCGTGGCCAATCGAGGAGTCCCCTGCTACACCTCTTAGATAAAAGAGGCAAAACTTCCAGTGTCCATGTGTAGGTGCTTAAGATAATCAGTTCCAGAACTGCAGATTCCCCAACCATAGTGGAAAGGCAATAATACTATCATCCCATGTTAGATTAGTACAATGAACTACCAAAAGCTTATTCATTTGTACTAAAACCTAGTTAAAAATTTATCATTATTGTATATTTGACACAGAATTCACTACAGTTGTAAAAGGAAAGTAAAACCAAGGAAAGTGGGCAGTAGCCTAACTAATCACACACACGGCAATTCTGTCATAAAGAAGCTAGACTGAACGGCCAGTCTCACCAGTACATCGTTGCAGATATCTCTTAGCTCGGTCTCAATTTTCTCCCTGTATTCACGAGCCATCTGCTGCTTCTTCTCGGCACCTTCAGTCTTCTGCTCAATACTTGACACGACCCTCCATGATGATCTACGGGCTCCTACGACATTTTTATAGGCAACAGAGAGGAGGTTCCTCTCCTCATTAGATAACTCGGCTCCCTGCTCAGTTACAGACTTCATGCAGGCTGCCATGTCGTCATATCGCTCCGCCTGCTCGGCCAGTTTGGCCTTCTGCACCAGCTCATTTTTATCCATGACTGGATGGTCTGCAGGAGAAAAAGAAAAAAGAAAGAAAGAAAGAAAAAAGCAGTATGTTTGACATTCCACCCCCCCATGAAAATAAAGACTAAAAATCATGATTCCCTGCAAGAACTGAGGTACAGCTTCACAAAAGGATGGCCCCACAAAGCACAATGGAGAGGTCCATTTACACCCAGGAGCACTAGTTCAGCCAAGCTGAAGTATTACCATGGCTCTGTTAAGGTCAAGCCACAATTGTTCAAAGGCCACCTTTTAAAAAATATCATCTCTGATATTTTCACTTGACCCAAATTTCCACTATTTCTAAGTGATTCAAAATTAAACAGTTCTCTTCCTTTATGACAGAATAATGCCAAACAGGATCACTTCCATTACTATCTCCAGATTGCACGGTTCATATCAGTGTGGTGTGGTATGAACCTCCCTTTTTTTCTCATTCCTAACACTTAGCTCTGCTCAGCAGTGATTAAATTCTAGTTGGTGTCACCCCCCGCCCCCCGCCCATCCAATGTAGTAACATTTGCCAACTGATCACAGCCTAATTTTCTGCAAGGCACAAATTGCTTGCTCTTAAATATTGTGAATATAAAGCCACCACCAAGGATCACTGTAGGGCGCCAAGGCCTCATTTATACCTTTTTACGTGCATGCACGCTTTAAAAGGTGGCCCAAGAGGCCTTTTTAAAATTCAGTTCTGTGAGCACTGAAACCCATCACACGGGAAGCAGCCGTGTTTCAATGTCTGTGCTCTAGTTTCCCCGTAGAATTGCTGCATTGTTCCAGCACTCACAATTTAATGGAACATTAGCGCTCCAGCTACCCTCTCCCACGACTTCTCAGGACTAATCTCAGTCCCTCACTTAAAGCTCCCCCGTCCTTTTCAGTTCACCTCCACTACATTTTTAAAAGATATCCTTTCACAAGGTGTTGAACAGCAGAGAAAAGCACTACACTGCGATACCACAGAACAAAGGATTGAAGGACACACACAGCCTGCACTGCACTATTCAATTAAAGGAAAGAGCCCCCAGCACCAACCAGAGGAACTGAAATGCCAATCTCTTACCCCTTTTACCTTCCCAGGCAAACCCGACTTAAAAAAACTCAAATGGAACTGACTCCACTATTCAAACAAGTAATCAGAGTGAATGAGAGGATTGCCTCGAGCCCAACTACTGCACATTTGTGATGGAATTTCCTCTCGATTCTTCAAAATAACGCTTCCCTTACAAAATCAAAGAAAAAAAGTTTTTCTGGTTAATAATTGCGTCTAAAGAAAAAAATGGTTTAAACAAAACCAACACAAAGGTCTCTCTCAACCACCCCTTACGGACAAGGGGGAGTGGATCAGGTTTCTCAGAGTTAAATTAGAGCTACAGGCCTCGCCCCTACACGGAGATGACCTGCCGCACCCATTTAACCCTTGCACGGCTGAAGACGTAGGGCGTGGGGCAGCGTACACCCGCAGACCGCAGACCGTGACTTTCAAGTGCAAATCCGCGGTCCCGCAATCCGCCACCTCCCGCCTCCCCGGCCCCGCCCAAGCCAGCGCCTCCGCCGAACCAGTCGCGGACTCTGGCTCTTTGTCATGGCGGATCTGTGTCAAGGAGCCCAGCCTACCAGGGTTAACCCTCCCCTAACCAGGAGGGCGGAGCGGCCCGCGCCCCCGCCCTGGTGTGAGCGTGGGGGGGCGGACAGAGACGCCAGCACCGCCCGCAGAAGCGGAACCACCGCCAGCCCGGACACACCCCGCTCCCACCGGCCGCGTCCCGGCTCCCGGTGCCCATCCCGAGTCTCCAAGGACCCGACAGCTGCGGGAGGCGGGGGAGGGGTGCAGGGCCACACCCAGCCCGGCGGGGCCACCACCGGCTGTTACGCCGGGGGGCCAGCGCGGCAGGATCTGCGCCTCTGGGGTCCCAGCCTCGGCGGACTGGGCGAGCGGGAGAACCGCCGTCTCTCCCATCACCACCCTCTCGGTCACCCCCCAAAACTAGGCTGGGAGCGAGCCCCCCGCCCCCGCCTCCACGCCCCGGCAGCAGCCCGTCCACGAGGAGAACAGAACCGGCTCCGTTCCCCACCCCCACCGGGAAAATCCAAGTCCCGGGCCAAGCCCCTCGCCCCATCCCATTCCCACGCGGCGCGGGCCCGCGCTCGCCCCCGCCGGCCTCGCCCCGCCGCCCGGTCCCGCCGTCCGGCCCCTCCCGGCCGGGGTGGGGGAGGGCGGGCTGGTCCCGGCGCCGCAGCGCGGGGCGCGGAGGAGGAAGGAGGGCGGGCGGGGGAGGGGGCGAGCCTCGGGGCGCGGGCGGGGGGCGGCCTCACCTGCGCCACGGCCGTGCCCGCACCCGCCGCCGACTCATCACCTCGGGCGGAAGCGGGGCCGCGCCGGCCAAGGGTGGGGACCGGGCGCCTGGGCCACGCCGCGCGTCCCCGGCCGGGGAGCGGGGCCCGGGGGGCGGCGGGAGGGAATCCCCGGGGATCGCGCGTTGGGGCGCGCCTGCCCCGTCCCCCGCCCTCGGGCAGGTCGGCGGAGAGCGGACCGCGGCGGCGACCCGCGGCGGGAGGTGGCCGCCCGAGTGCCCGCGGAGGAGAAGCCGCCGCCCGTGTCCGCCGGACGAGACCCCGCCTCACGGCCAGCCCAGCGCCCGACGGCCGGAGAGGGGCCTGCGGAGCCGGCTCGGCTTCCTCTTCCCCCCAGGAGCGGCCGGGAGGCGAGCGGGGCGAGGCGGGCTGCGGCCGGGCCCCTTACCTGTGTCCGGAGTCGGCGGCGGACGGACGGACGGACGGACGGCGGCTTCCCAGGCTCTGGGCGGCGGCGGCGAGGCTGAGACTCTGTCCCTCGGTCTCGCTGCTCACAGGCTACAGCCGCTCCGCAGACACGGGGTTTCCTCCAATCACCAGCTCCGGCAGCAGGGGCACCACACGCACGGTGACGTCAAACGCTGCTATGGCAACCGGTGATTGGTGCCCACAGCTCCGGGGGCCTTAGCGCAACCGCCGCTCCCCGGCGCGCGCCCGCCCGCGCTCGAGGGCGAGCGAAGGAGCGCGCTTTCTCCTTCCCGCCCCGCTCTCGCCCTCCACCACCTTCTCTCTCTCTCTCTCTCTCTCTTTTTTTTTCCGGGCAGGAAGTTGCTTGCTTGATTTTCCTCCTCAAGGCACCACCACCCTACTTCCTCGCCTTTCCTCTAGGACGCCCCCTTGCCCCCCAGCCTCCGCCGGCTCCCTCTTCCGCTAACACTCGGGGAAGAAAATGCGCCCCCCACCCCCACCGCCTGCGGCCTGCATGCGGGCCTGCGCCTGCGCCCAGCGCTCCCTCTAGGAAGGGGGTTCAGCAGCATCCGGGAACTTCCACATGCCTCCTTTCCCCCCCCACCCACCCTCACCCCCTCCCTGCGGCCTGGCCCGCCCCGGGCTCCGGGCTCCGTGGGTGATGGCTGCCCCGGGGGCGGACCGAGGGCCAGCAGACGCGGGAGGCTGGGCGGCCGGGCATTGTGAGCGGAATGTGGGGAGGGGGACAGGGCGCGGTCGCCCCGACGCCGCGGCTTTACCTGCGGGCTCAGGGTGGAGGGGGGGCGGGGGAAGCGGCCTTAGACCTTTTAAGGCTTGGAAAAGAGGACGAAGCGGCCAGCCCCCTTAATGTGACTGAGTGATGGGGAGATATTCCAATCGGGAGCTTGGGATCCTCACGCAGGCACAGCCGCGAGAGAACAATGGGTGGGCGCCGAAGCGGGGCCGAGATGGCCAGCCGGCCGGACGAGAGGAAAAGCCTGGAAGAGTCGCGGCCACCTTCACAAAAGAAAGCCTCGCTTTCCCGAGGGGGCAGCGGCCGGTTACCAAGGCGAGGGGGGGTCGCCTTCACAGGAAACAAGGCGAGGATACGGGCCTCAACGCCCTGGCTGCGGTTTTTTTTTTTTTCCGGTTCAAACAAAATTTTGTCATAGAACGTAAAGATTGTAACATTTTGCTTTCGGGGGCAACATCTAAGGAAAGTTCTAGTGCGCGGGGGCCCGGTGGACACAGCCGGGAGTAGGAGGGGCTCTAGGCGGGGCGAGGAAGAGGAGCTAGGCTGTGAGCTTGGGGTGGGGGAGGCGGGAGGAGGGGTGACAAGGGCGGAAATTGCAGGTGTCTGAGGCGGTAGGGCTCCACCCAGTCGGCGGAAGGAAGTGCAGGAACTGCCTTCGCCCCTTGCTGAGAGAAGTTGAGTGCTCGCTCTGTGAACCTTCAAAACCGTGGTCGAAACTTCTGGTCGGCGGGAGCTCCTCCCATGACCCTCAGCCCCGTGGCTTTGTCCAATTGAGCACGCACTGGAGGCCTTCCCTAAGCAGAGCGGGTGCAGGGCCCTGAGGAGTTAGGACGGGATTCCTCGTTCTTCCACGGACTTTGGATGGCGGATAGAATGTCTGGACCACGGGGGTTGCATTTTGCCAGAAGTAACAGCTGGCCCTGGGATAAAATAGGGCAGGAAGAGAGCTTTGGGACAATTTCGATTTATTTTTCCGAGGGTTCCACATCAGCACAGCTTCATAGTAGGCTGGCTGGCTGGAGAAACTGATGGGTGTTTTTTGCTGCTGAGATAAAGTGAATTTGCCTTGACTGCTGAGGAAACTTGCAGGGAGCAACTCCCGTAGACTGGTAGTTCCAAAAGCTATTTTTTAAAAAAATTGTCTCCAGTTTTGTAGTATGTACTTGAAATTTGACCAACGCCCCGAAGAGAAGTCTTTTTAAAACTGGAGCTTGATGATAATGTCGCACATACATGTCTACACAGTGTTTTGTGTTGAGAGCAAATTAGGGGACATAACTGCTTTAACAAACAACAAAACCGGATTTGTTTAGTGAAACAAGGGATTTTACATACTCAAATCATTCAGACTTCATCAGGAACGCATGTAGATTGTTAGGTGTCTGTATTCATGTGTGTATATTTCTCAACACCATCCCTTCCACATAGTAACTGCACTGTTATTCAATTGGACTATTACTCTTCGTAATTTGATAGATGTCTCTACTGTCCAGAGGTTTGTGAGGGCAAAATGAAATATTTTTAAAAATCCATGCTAGGTGACCAGCATTGTGGTAGAGTGTGTTAAACCCACTGCCTGCAATGCCAGCATCCTACATTAGAACTGATTTGAGTCCAGGCTACTCCTCTTTCAACCCAGCTTCCTGCTAATGTGCCTGGGGAGTCAGCAGAGGATGAGCCCTGCCACCCACTTGGGAGACCTGGATGAAGTTCCTGGCTGCTGAACTCGGCTTGATCCCACCCTGAACGCTGCTGCCATTACAGCAATGAATCAGTGGATGGATGATGTCTCTCTCACGCTCTCTTTGAAATTGCCCTTCAAATAAATACATCTAAAACATGAGGTTCTAGAGTTCATTCTGGAACATCACATTTGTATTAGTCTGTGAACACTCATGCTACAGTGATGAGAATAAAAAATGCTCTTTTTAAAAAAAATATTTATTTATTTTTATTGCAAAATCAGATATACAGAGAGGAGGAGAGACAGAGAGGAAGAGCTTCCATCCGGAAGTGACTTCACTCCCCAAGTGACCACAATGGCAGGTGCTGTGCCAATCTGAAGCCAGGAGTCAGGAACTTCCTCTGGCTCTCCCATGCAGGTACAGAAAACCAAGGCTTTGGGCCATCCTCGACTACTGTCCCAGGCCACAAGCAGGGAGCTGAATGGGAAGCAGGGTCACTGGGATTAGAACTGGCGCCCATATGGGATCCTGGCGCGTTCCAGGTGAGGAGTTTAGCCGCTAGGCCATGGCACCGGGCCCATTGCATTTCTATGTAGGAAAATAATGTCTTCTGAGCTATGCTGTATGTCAATATTGGAGCAAATTCAAGTAAATTAGCCTGAAGTTTATTCTCTGATTAGAAAAGCATCTGTGGGGAAGAACTATTGGTGATGTAACAGTTATGTTGATCATTTTAGGTGTAATAGCAACCCAGATAGGCTGACATGCCACAACAGTCTTAGCTGTAAAAATGCAGTTCACAAAGATCTATGGTCTGACTGTGCCATGCGTGTATCAAAACTGGGCCTCCTCAGTGGCTGAGGCAGAGCAGTGGATGGCGTGCCCAGATGCACATGGAGGATATGGCAGCCCATTGCGGCCTGCAGAAGATACCATAGCAGAGGATGGCAAGCAGAACAAACTGAGCAACCACACCAGCCAAGCATTAACAGCAAATATCTGGGTGAATGGAGACCATAAGGTGAACTATGTCAACCAATGGACCTTGGAAGGAATTCCTCATCCCTGGAGTGGCAAGGTCAACAGCATGTCAGAACTATCAAAACCACTTGAGCAGAACCCTCAGAGCATGATCTACATCAGGGACACTGGGATAACATCGGTGGCTATTCCCCATCCCTGGGTACTGAGGTGGTTGGAAGGCTGGGTGTAGCTTCTTCCCTTCTCTCCCTGCTTCCCCCAGATACAGGAAGAAGAAAATTTGGGGTCCAGCGAAGTAGGCTAGCAGCTAAAGTCCTCACCTTGCATGCGCCAGGATCCCATATGATCACTAGTTCTAATCCCAGCAGCCCCACTTCCCATCCAGCTCCCTGCTTGTGGCCTGGAAAAGCAGTTGAGGATGGCCCAAAGCTTTGGGACCCTGCACCCATGTGGGAGACCTGGAGGAAGCTCCTGGCTCCTGGCTTTGATTTGGCTCAGCTTTGACTATTGTGGCTGCTTGGGAAGTGAATCATCAGATGGAAGAATTTCCTCTCTGTTTCTCCTCTCTGTAGATCTGACTTTCCAACTAAAAAGTTATAAAAAGGAAATTTGGAAACAATGGTCTCATCTACTCTCCCCTAATCCTTCA